GAGGTGCTTGGTCATATTAACCTCTCTTGGCTTCACTTATCCCGCATCCTTGAAGTCAGACGATAATTATTCACCCCCTGAATCCTTCATATGCTAATACATCTACCACCAGTATATATCAGTGATCCAGCAGAGAAGATGAGATTCAGAACCCCATCATGGAATCACAAAAGCATTATGAAATATGGCCTCAAAATCTAGTGTGCTTCCTGATCATGCTTGTGTTTCTATACTGGCATTTGTTCTACACAGTTATAAAGCTACAGCTTCTCCTTCTGTTGTTATTCTGAAAGGGAGATTGAGGGAGAATTTTGTGCTGCTTTCTAGACTTTGTTTTTCTAGCATCTCCTTCAGAACTCCTGCATGGTATAAGAGTAGGCCAGAATAACGTGTATAGCCCGTGACAGGAGCAAAATGAGGCTAACAAATATCCTACTGAGGATGCGGTTTGACAGCTTCATCCATCCAGCTGAATTTGCATTGTGAGTATGAAATAGCTGCGTGTCATGGGCCACTGCCATTGCACACAGTCATTTATTTAATAACTCAGTGCACAGACATTAAAGGGGAGCCGTGCAACACTTCATTTTGTTGAAGACAAATAAGAAAGCTAGAGATGCCAGCATTTAGAAAAGTCGGGGTTGCACTGTTTCATCACCATACTTTTAATGTTCAGTCAGGCAGTTCTTCAGGTGTGAAATGGATCAAATTTTTATTAATAAAGGTGAAAGCATGGACTGTGGTATGTCACAGGCTGTTTCCCTGTGTTGTTTTCCTTCAGGCTGAATATGAAGGTAGGCTTTGAAAAAGATCAGCTTATTCCCTTGCAGCATGAAGTGCCGTAGTTATGCAATCTGCACTAGATGTTTTTTGGCACCATGTGAACCAGGTAGGTACACCTGCTCAAAATCTTGACAATATTGTTATTTTTCTCTGGAGCATTGCTTCTTCACATGGATTCTTGGCATTTGGTCAAGCTTTTTCAGAAGTACCAAGTACTGTGATTCCATCCTTAGAAGGACTAATTTAAAATTATGCGGAGTGTCTAGAAATCAAGCTTCCTAAATATTTGTCTAAATAGAAAAATGCAGAAATTAAAACACCTGAAATTGGTAGCTGCTTCTGAAAATCTATTTGCAAACATGAAAGAGAATATTTCCCTCATTTTCAACTTATTTTCAGGAATTGTATTCAACTTAGGGATTTTGTGTTTTCCAGCATGCTGCTCTTCCAGAATGCTGGCAAGTAGTATTCAGTTGCTATCCTAGATAAGCTTCTCTGATTCTAACTTAGAGATTTCCATGTGAAAATTAAGCATCCTGCCTCAGTGTCCTCTGCTTATTTGTACAAATCCTCCCAGTATTGGTGTGCTTCCATACCGGCAGGTATGGAAACAAAAAAAATTGAAATTATAAGAGAGCCTCCACTGAGTTTTGGGGGGCAGCATGTAATGCTGGGCAAAGGTAACTAGAAGTTCTGTTTTTTGCTTTGAGAAATGAGTCATTTTTTTTTTTTTAATAGTTGTTTTTAAACAATACAGTCTATATGGCAGACTCCTAAATCCTGTGCAGGTACTTAGTTTTTTTTTCTGCAGTGCGTCAAGGACTCAACTATTCTCATCAGTGGGTGCCTAATTCTAAAAGCACTGACAAGATTTTAAGCGGAAAGTAAGTCATCAGACAAACTGGAAAGGAACACCAACAGTTGTCACTCCCCCTTAGCATCAACAGAGCTAAAGGGTTTTGAGTGCTTTCCTCACAGCCAGGCCAGTTTTAAAACTTCAGTTCTTATTTTCAGAATTTGAATATATGGCTGAAACATGTCTTGGGTTGCTTTGCTAAATAGCACATGGAAATAAATTTTTTTTTAATTGAAGCACTGAAACAATTTCTGTTCTCAGAGGTCTATGGAAAAAGTAATTTCAAAAACAGAAAAATATGTGCAGAGATATGGCACAGAAAAGAAGACCTTAAAAAGGGATGTTCTGTTGTGTTAATTATTGCTGAAGTAGAGGAAAATGTGGAAAAAAAAATAAACCACTTATGACTGGTTTATACTTGAAATATTTAAGAAATAAGAAAAGCATGTTCTGCAGCTCCTGAAATGTCTATTGTACCCAAGTAACTATGCTAACTATCGGTTGGTGTAAGTGGATGCCACCTCATGGATTTCAGTGGCATATCATCTCTTTAGACAAGCAGAGTGGAAGGCATCTGACACAAACAGAAGGATTTTACTTGGTTGCATATAGCTCTGTGTGCACTGACATGGAAGGCTTTGACTTTAGGCCAGTGCGTGTTTGGTCAGCCAGGTGATGGAGTAGCTCAAAAAAATCCAAAAGCATGAGGACGTGATAAGCTATTCAAGAAGCAATCGACTGTAATTTATTTAAAGCAAAGCAAAGACCCTGTGAAAAGTTCTCATTTCAGTAATAGCTGATTCATTCTGCACTATCTGTCTGCGTTTCTTCTGAGCTGGTCTGTAAATCAGAGTAGTGCAAAAGGAAAAGGTAAGAGCCAGTTAGGTGGAACAGTAGTGTTCTCAAGTATTTGTCCAGTGGAACCCTTTAATGCTTCTTGTGGAGATCTTTAATTTTAGATTACTGTCACTTCTGAAGTTCTCACCACTCACTGCTGTAAGCTGTAAATGAACATTGTTCTAAACCTGTTTAGAATGGGGAAGCTGCAAGGGGCTGCTTTTCCTGCCACACTTAATCCAGGTGCTGCAGTATTTCTTCATCACTGCTCTCACTGCTTGCTGATCAGCTGTGGCCATAGCAGGCAGTGAAGCCTGGCTTCCTTGCACCTGCACATCTGACTCCAGTGGCTTTGCCTGATGCAGCAGTGTAGGTCTCAGATGTTAAGATTTTCCTTCAGCACCATTGGAATGTATGCAGCTTCCTAGACATGAACAAAGATTGAAAGGTGCATTGTGTACAGAATGTGTGTCTAACCTTAAGGCTTGCCTGGGTCACACCGAGTGAAGAGGAATTGTTCTGGGCTGCTATAAAATAGGTAGGTTGTTCCAGAAGTAATGCCTCCTATTGATTTGCGTGGAAACTGCAATAGGTACAGTGAGCACAGTAACATTGTTTGACAGAACAACTTCTTAGCTACAAAACACTACTTTTCAATGTAATCACCATCATTAGCGGTGCATTTTCACCACCAGTGAACAAGAGCCTGTGTGCTGCACTTGTAAACATCTGCACCAGTGGATCCACTTCTCAAACACACAACCCACTGTCTCCCTGTGCTCACAGCCACTGTTTGGTCTCCATCAATGTTCAGCAAGCATTGATAATGTCAGTAGGTGCCATTTTCTTCTCATGGAGGAATTCAGTGACACACCTTTGCTTCATATGTACTTCCACATCAGACACCAATTTGTCAGACTGCCCCTCTACTGCCGTCTGTCACATGGCAACAAAATGAAGTGGAATGTTGGTGGGAAGATTCAGCCTCTATTGCCGTACCACCATCATCCGCCTCTGGTATTGTGGGCCAGCATCATAAATAGGAAGAATTACTTTCAGAGCAGCCCTCATAAAATATGTAATACGGTTAATGTACATATGTAACAAAACTTATTTTAATTTTTAATGTTTTATTTTTTTTAAATTAAAACATATGGAAAAGAGATCAATAAATCAGAAAACCAGTCCTTGTTTCTTGGAAACTATCTTTTAGTCCTGTTTGATGGCAGTGGCTGCAATTCTCAGTGAGCTCTCAAGGTGTTTGTCAGGGAGTTTTTATGACATTTTGCTCTTCCTGTGCTCCATTCTTGAAAACAGCTGGTATTGAATGTATGCACTGCTAAAAGCACTGACACACATCAGGTGTGACTGTGGAGCGAGGGGTACATCTCTCCGGTAGGAGAGGGCTTATACAAGTCTGGTGAAGAGATGTAATGTATTTTGTTTGTTTATTTATTTATTTTATTGTGTCTAAAGGGGTTTCAGTGGCCTGTGGCTTTTCTTGATAGTTGCTTACAGTTTATTGGCAGAATATGTTCAGTGTAAGCACTCCAGATGTAAGAGCCATATTAGTAGACTAATAAATTAATACTACTTTACCATCCTGAGGAAAACTGCATACAGGGATTTGGGCTTCATTTTGAGCAGTTTTGTTCTCTTGACTATAAAAGCACTTTGCTGTTCAGAAATGTGACGGCTATTTTGGCTGAGGTGATACTGAGCAAGCAGAGCTGCATCAGCATTGTTGTGCTGGGAACTGTCTGGAAATTATCAGAAATAATGAGACTGGCTTGTCATGGAGCTAACAGTCTGTGTTTGGAAGTGCTTGTTGTGAAACGCTGTGAACTAAGCTGAGCTGCTGCTTCTGGGAGCCTGTGCTACAGGACCAGTGATTTGTTTTTGTTATGGACTGAAAGAAAAGATAGTTCTTCAGCGGTCTTGGTTTGTTGTTTTTTTGTTTGTTTGTTTTTCTCTTGGGATTTATCAGCCCCAAGGAATCACTGCCCTGAGAGGAGGTGTCAGACATTCTGCTCATTTTGGATTTGTTTGTAGAAGACTGTTTTGAACCTGGTAGGTGATTGTGGTATGGTCACAGAAGTGTCCTATTTCTTATTTATCGCAAACAACTTCAGAACTGCAAATCCAAGCCTCCACTTCTTCAAAAAGGAATGGAATTACACCAGCGTGTGAAGAACTTCCTAGGTTTGATGAGAATTTAACACAAACATCTATCTGTACCTTACTCTGTATTTGTGAAGATGTCTTTTTTTCGCTTATGCTCAACTTGGATCTCGTTCCTGAATTTTTGGGCAAATTTTCAATTAGGCTGAGGAGACAAGTTGTGACAGGTCTACCTATGGCTCAGTTCATGAATTTGCAGAGCGCTTAGCTGAACAATGCAGCGCACTCACACGTGTGAGTAGCTCGCTAATTTGGATGTGCCCCTAATGACCTCGTGGTGCCTCCAGCTGAGCAAAAAGCACAGGAGAAGCTGGCTGGGATGGGGCTTCCTAAGTTAGATAAGAATAGTAGCGGAAGGGTTTGTATGAGAATTGACGACCCCAAAAAGACTAAAGGCTATGTTTTTGCTTGAACTTTAATGAAATTAATGGAGAATCCTCCACTTACTATATCATGCTACTACTTGTAATTGGTAACAGAAAGCAAATGAGCAAATGGAGCTAAGGGAAGGTACACAAATTGTACTAGTAAACTTTGGACCTGTGTTCGAGGCATCTGGTGGTGAACAACCTCATCTTTCAGGTAACATGGTTTAGTTTTGTTCTACTTCTGTTCAACAAAAAACTATACCTCTTTATATCAGCACGACGCTGTGTAATGTGCTGTTGATACGAATGCAATTTCCTCATAGTTCTTAAAGAGTTAAAATAGTTTGGCTGCATAGCACTTGCAATGATTTTGTTAAAATAATAAAAAGAAAAACAACACACGTGTGCACACGCGCACACAAAAAAATCCAAACAAAATAGCTCTTCTTGCAAAACAAAGAGGAATAATTAAGAAGGCGGTTAAATAGAAATAATCTAAATCACTTGATTAGTTCTTGCTCTTTTTTTTTTTTTAAATCATTTGTTGTAGATGAGTATAGGGAGAAGTGATACACGATGCGCTCACACTCCACATCACTTAGATCCATCTGTAAATGTAGAGCTGTTGCCACACTTCCATTCTATATGCTGCATATTTTGCAAACAGCTACACCTACACACAGACAGCACGAGGCATTAGGGCTTTCATTTCCAGGATGCTGTATGTACGTGGAGCCTGCAAGCTGTGAAATGGCAGTCATTCCAAACCTGACTCAACTGATTTGGCTGAGTGTTAGCAACAGAAAGCATTGTCTAGGTGGGGGGGGGAAGAGGTGGCTGCTCTTTATTTCTGAATGGAGTGCTTAATGGCAAAGATTTTATGAAGTTGTAAGGCAAGTGATAGTAAAAACTGCAGTACAGGGCTCTTGCCGTGTGTGTGTGCATGTGGATGAAATTGGAAAATTCATCTCTCTCCATCTAAGCTGTAACTGAGTTTTTATCTCAGTTCGTTATTATATATATTTTTTTCTTTTCTCCCTTGTGATGTGTTGTAAGAATAAGCGTGTGTTCTCCATCTTCCCTCCCTCTCTTCCTCCCTCCTTCCCCCCCCCCCAAGCTGTAGGGCCAGAAGGTGGGGTGGTACCTCAGGATAATGGTAGCAGAAGGCGAAGGAGGCAGACAGCTGGCAAGTTCTGCCCCAATATGCTTCTCTGAAAGAGGCAAGGAAAATGCAGAAGATGTGATGCCTGAATGGCTCACTTTGCAGCAAAAGGGAAGATTAAAAGTAAAATTAGTTAACATCTTGCTCATTTCAAACCGCCACACGCCAGCTTTTTGCTCCATGCGATCCGCCACCCCTTGCCTTTATTTTTGAAGGGAAGAGGCAGAGAATCCTGGGGTTGTGTAGAAATCCTTGTACTGAGCAGCACTTGTAAGACTGAGCACTCCAGGTAGTCTTCCTATTAGCTCTATCTGTCATCTTTATGAGACTGCCTGTTTACTGCTGTTACCTAGTCAGCTGCGTTCCTCCATGAGAAGCTTTTATTTGTTGTACTAAGACAGTGTTAAACAAGCGGATGAAGGTCTGGGGTAGAAAGGGAGGCTGAAGCAATTGGAATTGCTCAGTCAGGAAGGGGAGCAAGTCAGGAGATGGTATATGCACATCTAAGGTCACCTAAGAACTTATGGAGCTCTTATCTAAAGAAGATCCTATTGCTGTCTATTGCTTCCCAGTGGGAAGTGTGTAGGTAATGCTGGAAATAATGCTCTGAGTAGAGAATTTCATTGCATGTGTAGTCTTGACAATCAGGTCCAAGTCATATGACTGTCCAATTTTTTTTTTTTTTTGTGAGCAACTCTTTTTGAAGAGGTTTTGTTCTATTCAAGTGAAACTCAACAGTATATTGTACAGTGTCTGATTTTATGTAGTGCTGTGAAGCAGACTTTAGGTTCTCAATAAAGAAGCTGCTGCAGAGTCTGAAAACTCTTCTTACATCAACGCAATGGAAAGGAATAAGGGTACTGATCTTAGTCCTTGTCTTCACCATTGGAAATGCTGACTAATGAGCCCAGGATGTGGGATGGGATATTTTCTCACAGTTCACGTAGCTAAAGGTATTACTGTTGGGTTAGTGTTTGCTAACTTGGGCAGAAGACAGGCATATATCAGTGCAAAAAGCTTTTAGAAAGTCTGTTCAGAGACTAATGCCCTGAGCCATACGTATCAGTGTTTTCAATAGACCAATTCTGCTGTTTTTGCAGATGATTCCCTGAAGTGCTTACCCTTGTAAGGAAACTTGAGTAACAGGTTGACAGTAGTCATTGATGTCAGCCTTGTCTCTGCTGAAGCCCAGGGCTGATGCAGTCAGCAGTCCCAATGATGATGACTTAGGGGAGGGGGAAAAAAAAAAAGGCAATGAACTTGTAAGCTGAATTTCTGCAGAAGAGCTCTAGCCCTGGAACAAGCACTGACTAGCAATACTACCTGATTAACTGCTTTCCTCTCTCTAGTTTTCTTACACAAGTCAGCATGGCGCAATTGATTGCAGCAGGGGTAAGAGCACAGATGTCTCTAGTGAGGATTCATGTCCTCATTAAAGTGGAAGAAATGGAAGTACTGACTGTTCCTTCAAGTATGTTTAACCTCAGTTGTGGCCACCTGCAACGTGGGGGCTTTCCCAGTTGGGGGCAGGGGTCCTTGTTAATAGCTCTAGCTATCCTAGCCACTTAAGTAACCAACTGCTTTTTGAACAAACTTGTGTCATCTGCAGTGCCACACCGAAAGGGGTCTCACTGCTTTTCTATGTGTAGTGAAAAAGAGGCTGGCGTGCACATAGATTGCAGACCTTAAAATAAGGGCTTGTAGTGAAAATGCTGAGTCACAGCTTGAACAAGTGATTGAGCACCTGGTGGGAAGGCAGGGCCAACCCAGGGGAGCTCAGGTGCATGCAATCCACCAGAGTGACTGGAAGGGATGGAGCCAGGATCCACCCCTTCCAAGACCTCATTTAAGGGTTGGCAGTGGAGGCAAGGGTATCTTACTGGAGATCTCTGCCTACCTGAAGCTTTCCAAAGGTAATTTTCTTGCTTTGTTTCTGTATCCATAGCTGAGGCATTTGGGCTCTTTCTCATTTGCTGCAGCTTAGGACTTTGCTGTCACTGCTGTGTTTTCCATCACATTGTGGTATTACAGGACTGAAAACTGTGCTGTAGTTGAGAAGCACTGTGTTCTATAAATTGGCTTTTTTTTTTTGTTTTTTTTGTAGCACTTAGAACTCAAATACCTTAGGCTATGTCCCTGTGTTAATTTAACTGGATCTAGTCAACTGTTCCACCACTGATTTTAAGGCCTTTCAGCTCTCTTTGTGATGACTATGTGATATGTCAAAGGTTATTGCAAGCACTGGCTTCTTTCTGCAGCACTGGTGGCAGTTGTGACATTAGGGTGAGTAAAAGAAAAGCTTGTCTCAGATGAAGGCTGTGACATGTGCAGAGATGTTTTGGAGGGCCCAGCTGTTTGGTTATGTTTATGTTTCTTCACTATGAATTCATTCTATCTTGTTTTTTTTTCTTCCCCTCCCTCTTATCTTCTACCATACCTGTGCATATGAATGTATGAAGTTTCTATGGAGCCTGCCTTACATTATATATTTTCCTGTGTACCTCTAATGGCGTGGGGAAGAAAACACCACGTTAATGATGGAAAGTTATTTAGTGCTGCATGGAGTTAATTGCTTCTAATCACTGCTTACATCCATCTGGTTTTATGGTAGACAACAAACCTCTTCATTGGATTTGCTCATTAGGCATACTGTAAATCACAGCAATGCTCTGGCATCTTGCATATTGTGCTTCCATTAGTTGGGCTGCATTTTTGTAGAGCTGGGAACAAAGAATGGTAGGCACTGGGAAGTGGATGGATTTCAGTCTCTGGTTGGAGAGTGCACCAGGACTTGTCTCTTTTAGGTTACCTTGAGGTTGAAAAGCATGCAGAAAAGCTGCCAAACAGCTACAATTAAGAAATCACATGAACACCTCAGTAGCATCTTTTTCCAGCTCAGAAACTGAGGATAATGTTTTCTGCTTGGGCTGAAATTAGATGTCATTGATATTGGGTTGAACAATAGCATAATTAAAAGGCATGAATTTGTTATCATAGAACCATGAAGGTTGGAAAAGACCTCTAAGACCATCTAGTCTAACCACCAACTCATCCTCACCATGCTCACTGACCGTGTCCCTGTGTACCACATCTCTTTGGTCCTTGAACACCTTCAGGGACAATGACTCCCACGTCTCTCTGGCCTGTGCCAGTGCCTCACCGCTTTTTCTAAGACTAATTTTTTCCTAATATCCAACCTGAACCTCCCATGGCACAGTTAAAGCCATTACCTTACAAAGCCGTTATCTTTATAAAGGAAAGGACTCCATTTAAAACCTGAAATGACACTAATGCCAGCTCCATTTCTTTTTTTTTTTCAGGTGGTCACCTGTGGCCCTGTGAGTTGTCTCTGGCCAGGTCCAGGACCAGATAATTCATGAGAAGAGAGGTAAGGACTGTTTGAGTTCTGATGGGTAGCTTGCTCAAGGCTAAGCTGCTGGTTAAGTTGGCTGCTGGCCGGTAGCACTGGTGAGGAAGGTCTCTTTTAGAGTAAAATTCTTCTGTCTGAATGTGTTCCCTTTGTTCCTTTAAAAAAAAAAATAAATAATGAAAGGACAACAGAGCTACAGGTTGTTTGTACACAGTACAGTTTGTACTGTGGTTGCATGGAAATCTTTTTCGGAAGCTGTTTTGGCTGCATGTAGCAGTTAAGTGTCGTTAAACAGAAAACTTGCATGGGGGTGAGGGAGAGAAAGAAGTGGTGTGCGCTGCCCCTTAGCTACACCACACTATGGGAAAATGTAGCTTTTAATTGGAGGAAGGTGTCAGGTTTCTGTCTCCCCCGTTGTTGCAGTAGATGTGAAATAGCAAAATTAACTTCTCTGTTTTAAAGTTCTGCGTTGGGTCATTGGTTTCCTTTTTTCAAATGGCAACATGAATACAGGTTTAGCCTTCGCCCATAGATAATCTTTCCTGTCATTTTACTTGGTGTTAGAAATCTTCAAAAATTTTCAACTCTGTACTGTTTTATTCTAATTGCTTAAATGGAGTGGATGACTATGCTGTTCCTTCATACAGTAGGTATATTACTTGGAGATCTTCCCATTTAAATTGGGTAGAAGGTTTGTGAAAAACAGACTTGTCAGGGGATAAAAGAAACCTGAAAGGCCCTGCTGTGTTGTAAGGCCATGCTGTTAAGGATGGAAGGCACTTTGCTTTGGTGCAGGATGTTCTTGGTGGTGCACAGGGCAGAAAAGCCTCCTAAATCAGCCTAGGGTCTCTTATACGTCAGTAATATTCTGAGTATCCTCACTTACAAGTCAGCTTGGTGTGTAAGATGAAATGGTGTTACTCTTCAGTTTGATCTTGAATTGCTTTAAAATTAAAAAGACTTTTCCCAATGGATCTTAACCAAGCGGATGAGGTAAGCTGGAAAAACATGAAATGCAACTGAAATCACTGCAGACAACACAGCATTTCAGTGGCTTCTCTTTGTGGTACAGGAGGATTTCTTGTTACTGAGTTCAGTCTACCTGCTGCATCATGGAGTCATTTTTTAGATTGTAACACTGTCCCTCCAGTGTTCATGAGCCTGGAGGATGTATTCTGAAATCTGTATGGGATCCATTCTGTTGTGAGTGTTGTACTGGTTCTGCTAGCTATTTTCACCTTCACTTTTGTACAGAGAACTCATGTGAGGTGCTACTGGAACATGCAGCAGTGGCTTCAGTGCTTGGAGCTCTGTAATAAGTAGTAGCCAAATGAGTTCTATGATAATCTATCATTGCTGTTATACTTGCAATGAGCCATGTTAATTTCTTGGATATGAGGCACATTTGATACTATGAAAATCTTGCTTGGAGGCCAGCATTTGCTTTCCTTCTTAAAGGGAGCTGTTACAATAGGCAAAAACAGTACCATGTTTCCTATCCTTTTTCCACCCCTTTTTCTTCTTTTTATCTGCAGCTGTACATCTTTTATCAAGAGCTTTTATGTTCTGTGCTCTGTGTTGAGTGCCCGTTGTGACAGGAGCTTTTTTTTTTGCCATCAGGCATAGGAATGCTGATTTGGGTGCCGTGATAACTGCAATTTCTACCTGAAAGCACAACCATTTGTCCTGGCGGCATCTCCCTGGGGTACTCCATTCTGAAAAAGAAAAATGGATAATAAAACTCACCACAAATGGCCTACTTCAATTTTTGACAAAATAAGCAAGCAGGAATTTAAGAAGGATATTTTCTTGCTGATGTCTTTATAAAAAATCAGTGGTGGTTATAAGAGGTTTCAGCTCCTCTTTTTCAAGCCAATCATAAATAATTCCCTAGAGAAGCTACCTTGCGCAGCTTCAGAGGTGCATTGTCATCCACTAATCATGGCAGCTCTGCCAAACTGTGTCTGGTGCAGTGTGATGGATGGATGTGATTTGATGAATGGCATATGCCTGGGCACGCTATTAGAGTGTATTCACTTCAGAAAGATTAATGATTTCAGGTTGTGCTGGCATCTTTCAGGACTCAATGTTTTAGGTTTATCTATCCATCTTTCACACATCAACAATAGCATTGTGTGCTCAAGTCAAAAAACATAAGGGTAAATTAATATTTTCTTATAGATAGATGGAGGCTTTGACTGACTTGTGTAGCTCCTGTTACCAGTACATTTTGGCTTTCATCAGAGAAGGCAAAGAAGCCTATAGAAGCATTAGTCTCAGGTGCAACTCCACTGCAAGGTTCCTAGTTACTGGTTTTTGTTCTTAAACACCTGTACTCTCAGCATTCTGCTTTCCCAGCACTCGCAGTAGGTGGCAGCCTCAAATATGTGGAACTGGGAGCCTTGCACTGTCAGTGTTTAGGCTGGTTAACAAGAACTAGGAAGGAAGTGTAAAATGTAGCATTTGGGTTTTGGTTTTTTTCTTAGTTCTTCAGGTTTTCAAAGCGCTCAAGAAACACCAGGAGATTGGCTAACTTGTTGATTTTTAAAATGCAAGTTGGAACTCTTTGGTCCCACGATTCTAGAAGCTGATGCATGCAGTGAAATAGTAGCTATCATGAAGATTCAACACTGAGGAGTGGTGACGTGCCCACTGGAGGGAGGTCCTGAGAACACTGCTGGTTCCTCTCAGATGAAAATGGAGAGTTTTGACATGGCCTGAAGCAGAGTGGAGAGGTACAGTGGAAACTGAAAGATGGAGAAAGAGACAAGCGCATAATAGAAATATATTTTTATACAGAAACAAACAAGGTGAAGAGAAGGCTGAAGGCAAGGCACACAAAACATGCTGCATAGATGGTGGTAAGTGAAAAAGCTAATCTGATCACCAACTGGCAGCAGTTCCCAAGGGAGCACAGAGATTAGGCAGTGACCAGCCGTTGTATGCCATACCCTTTGTGATCCTGTGTATATCTTCAGTAATTGATTAACAGGGCTTGTGGTGGGTTTAGTTCTGCTTGCACCAAATATGAGGCTTTCTCTTATATCCTAGGCCAGCATGGTTATAAAACCAAACTTGGGAAAAGCTTCTTTTTGAGTGCTGAAACTTTTCAGATGCTGTATGCTTTGGAAAATCAGCTACCTAGTTATCTGATTGGGAAACAGGTACTTGCAAAACTCTCTGTGTGCTCAGTAATCGAGTTTATATATTGATAGGGGAGACAGTATAAAGCTGGGACATCAAAGGCTTGCAAATAGTGCTGTGGCTTCTCTATCTTGACTTTTTTTTTTCCTCCTGACCAAGCTCGTTATCCTAGCCAAAATCACTCAATATTAGCATCCCACCCGGGTTGCTGGAGTTAGCAAAGCTCTGGAGTTTCATTTTTTCCTGCCCGCCTGTCGAGCAGTCTGGGCTCTTGGAGTGAATTCTTCTGCTTCTGCATGCAGGGCTTCTGAGAGACCGCCTGCGCTGATGTGAAGTCCCTGTCCCTTGCTCCTATTACATGGGCATTCAGTTTAATAATTGTGTGAGGATGGCAGACCTGCTGCCAAAGCCCTGCGCATCCAAAGTCATTTGGTGAAGGAGTCCATTATGATCATGGCTCGCAGTGATAAATTCCCTGTGATGGTAGCAGCTCACAGCAGCCTCCTCTCATAATGGCATTCTGCTCTTGTTGGCAGGGATCCCTGGGCAGGAGGCACTGCCCTGAAATAGTGGAAATGATGATGAGAACAACAATAGCTAGACAAGTCTGGGTGATAGGAAAATTAGGGAGGAATTCTAGTAAATTCTTACTTGAGATCACTGTGCATAAAGGAATTTGCAAAAGAGTTGCTGAATAGGAGCCTTGGTGTCAATAGACTAATCAAAGAGGGAGAGTTAACCTGTCTTCCATGGACGTGTATGTTGGCAGCCTGTAAACTCTGCTTTTTGATTTTTACCTTCCCTTTTCTGCTCTGTGCTTTCCTTTTACATTGGGTTTCTTAGTTGCTTTCTGAGGACCCCAAGGCAAATCTTCCTGTTTGTTCCAGTGGGAACCCTGGGCCAGTCCTTTTGTCCAAATAAATAAACATTAGGAGAAAAGTGGAAGAGCTGGTATTCTGTGTTTTGATGATGCTTTTTGGTAAAATTGGCATGAAGAGGTGTATCTCTGTGCATGAAGGTACATGCAAGTTTGTGGAGAGTCAGTTAAAGAGATATTATACATCAGAAACAATTTATTACAGATGAGGAAGGCTTTACACACATACTGTAATAATTGATGGAGACCTCACTTTTCTTTGTCTCTCTCTGTCTCATTAAGCCAGTCAAATTGGCTCAGACTCTAGGACAGTAATCTGTTCAAATTTGTGTCGCCAGTTTTCCTGTTTACAGACAAGTGAACATGTAGATCACAATAAGGCAAATAAATATGCAGTTTTAATTGTCAGGAAATGGTTAATGCTGATGAACTCGTTAGATATCAGTCATTTGTAGGGTGTTATGCAGTCTGTTTTCTGATTATTAATTTTTAATTGGCTGCTTATCTACTTGTACCTCCCAAGTGGTGGGGAGCCCTTGCAACAGACCTGGACCCTGAGCTGCAAAGTGCTGCTAAAAGGACAGCCATGTTGCTGCAGCACTGCCAATCTGAACTGGTTGATGTGGGGGATTTGATTCAGTGAAGAGAACAACTCAGTTCCTTGCTGCCTTTTCTCTGCAGGCTTGTTACCTGATCTCTGTGCAAAGCACAGGAGAACTGAAAGATTAATCATCTCATCAGCTACTTTATGTGTCTTAAAGATTATTCTGTGCGTGGCTGCAGAGCAGAGAGGACATACTTTTGGTTTGTTTATTAAGTGAGGATTTTCTTTTTCATTGGGTGATTTGCTAGTCCTTTGCTCCTTTTGTCACTTGCCCTTGGCTGTGGTATAACCATGAAACATTTACTGCAAAGCCATGAAGAATCCATATGTCCGTTTGATCTGTTAGGCCACCAAGAAGCCAGGGCTTGTGGGGTAGCATAAGGATATCTGAAGGTGACACATGCTGTCATTTGATGAACAGAGATGCAGAAGGGGATTCTGGCAGCCACTACCTTGGCCTTGACAACTTGTGATGGTGACCAGGTGGGGTGTGTTATCTTAATAGTCTGGAGCTCTTGTGAATTATTTGCTGATAGATGTAAACAGCTGTTATTCTTGGTAATGGAAAGCAATTAGAAACATCTGTACTCTTGGCGATGAGTAATGCCTCCCATCTTCACTGCTCCCAAGTGCCAATTGGAAATAACTACATCATCAGAATGGGGCTGGCAATTCTACACCGCATTATGGACTGATGATTAGTACTGAGCTGTGAAGAACAAGAGGTGAAGTGCAATAGAACGAGCTCGTACCTGTGTTGCTTCCTTTTTTGGAAAAAGTAGAGGGGATTTGCTGTTTTCTCTGTAAAGGGCAAGAAGGCACTTTGTACTTCCCTACCAATCCACAGGTGACTTGATTTTTTTGAGCAGCCTTGAATTGGAGCTGTAAGTCAAGATTAAGACATGATGGAATGCTACAGCTCCTATTCAGCTTGTTCTGGTCAAACTGCTTGTCCACCAGATGCCTCAGCAGAGTGAGTATGTCTAGATTTCAGGGACTTGCCCACAGTTGAGGTGAAAATGTTGATTTGTTTGCACTTGAGTTTCCTGTAGGACAGGCAAATAAAAGTAGAAGAGAAGGCATGTGCAGTGGCAGGATGTGATAGTTCTGGATAAACTATGATAGACAGTGACTGTGTCACCTGCTAGTTCAAGGGAAATCCACATGCAAGGGAAGAAGCAAACATGGGTTTATTTGTTTTTTCTGTAAAGCAAGTACAGAACTTGGGAGGTGTTCTGTTCCTTCTCCAAATACTGCAGACTTGATGTTTCTGAATGCCCATTGTGTATTTTAACTGTTTTCTTTAGAATTAGGGCTAGCTTGTAGTTTCATGTGAAGAGTTTCAGATGCTTGACTGGAAGAGCACTATAACATGTGTTCTGTGGACTGAGATGTGTGGCCTTTAGGAATCCCCATTATCAAGGGCATTGTAGAGAATTTGCTTGTGATAGGTGCTACAGTACTGTGTAATAGTACGGCTGAAATTGAAGACTTAAAAGATTAATTTTGAGTTGGAATATTAAAAATTAAATAGAATGTTTTAGCATAATGACATAACTTTAAATCAACTAAAATGGCATTAATAATAATCATGTTAACTCTTTTCATTAGAATAAGAAATTTAACGCTAAATTATTAAGTGATCAAATTTATGAGGCATGAGTTAGTAAAGATTTTTTACCAGCATAAATCATGTGACGTGACTTCTGTCCAGCATCTACTGCAAATCAGCAACTGTGTTAAGCTCTGGAGGGCATGAATAATGCAAACAGGTTGATGTTGTGACCATTGCCAGAATATGGCTATTTGTGCTCAAGTGGGCTATGCCTCACAGCTGTTCGATCAGCTCTTGGTGAAGATGATGTCAGATGATGAATGATATATAAGGTTAGAACTCTCCTGCACTTCAACAGGTGTTTGTATGTGAAGCTTAACATTTAGTGAAAGGCCTTGGATGGTAACTGGTGAGGTCCTTCCAAATACCCCTGGAGAATTTGTGATTTCTTAGCAGCAGTTGTCCTGCTAGTATGAAGCACTCTGTTTTTTTCCATAGCAATCTTTACCTTAAATTTCCTAGGCCTAATTCTGTAATTGACTTCAGTAGCTTAGCATTAAATAAATGTATAGGAGTTTAGGTTTTGCTGCTCAGTGATGACTTGAGACGTGGCTTTAAAAGGTGCCCTTCTTTTCTCTGAGGAGAAATCGTCTGTTTGACTTTTCCAAGTCAGTTCTATGAATCTCTGTCTCAGGACTTGTTTACAGAGTCACAGAATGGCCAGGGTTGGAAGGGACCTTAAGGATCATGAATCTCCAACCATCCCCTGCCACAGGCAGGGCCACCAACTCCCTATTTAATACTAGACCAGGCTGCCCAGTGCTTCA